TATAGGTACGACCTTTCACACCACTCAGCTGATGACTGGACATGGCTGCCTCCCTGCGTACCTTTTTAGAATAGGGAAAGCGGCATCTTTGCAGTGCTTTCACTGCGGAGCAAATGTAGATGATGCGGATCACACCCTGGTTGACTGCCCTGCGTTGGTGAATGAGCGGGACGGTCTTGTCAGGGAATTGGGGGTGATGCGGGTCTCCCTCTCTGGCATACTCAGGGTATCCCTTGATATGCTGGGGGGGTGGACTGCATTCCAGTCCTTCGCGGGATGCGTGATGCGCGAAAAGGAGAATGCAGAGAGAGAGAGAATGGATGAATGGGTGAAGGTGGCGTGCTGGGCCGCAGAGGAGTTTCGCTCCTAAGCGGCCCCCTTTAAGCGACGCTTCGCGTAACTCGGGCGGCGAATGGCTGATAGCTGTGCGTCGCTTTCCCCTTATGGAGTGCCGTCATGGTATGAGAGTGGAGTGGGCCTGACCAGAACACCGTTCAATGTAAGGTTAGGCCAGAAGTGAGTGAGTAGCCTGCGTCTCCAGTGGGGTTCATGCTTAACTGTTGAGTGCGCCTAGGTTTGTGAGATAGCGCCTCCGGGGAGGAAACATTTCTGTTGAGAGCGCAGGATGCAGGAGTAATCGGATTGTGTGCGTGTGTGGGAGAAAGCGTGGCGAACTTCCGGCCGGGCTTGTTAGGGGAGAGGCACAAAGGCAATTTGAATTGTACTAGTCGTGCGTTGCGCCTGCCTCCTCCCCTCGCGTGTGAGTGTTGCACCAGGTATGTTTCTAGTCGGTAAGAATCCGACACTCCCTTGGGTACCGGGCCCATGGGGCCTTTTGAAGGTTTTCCCCCTGACAAAAAAAAAAAAAAAAAAAGGGTTGGAACGTTGAGGTTGCTTTAGAGATGCGTAAGGGTTGGAACGTACCGGTTGCTTTAGGGATGCGTAATGGTTGGAACATCTTTGCTGCTTTAGAGCTTGAATGTCGGGGTTGCTTTAGGTATGCGTCAGGGTAGAAACGTCGAGGTTGCTCTAGGGATCCGTCAGGGCTGAAAAGTCAGGGTTGCTTTAGGGATGCGTCAGGGTGGGAACGTCTGGGTTATTTTAGAGTTAGAACGTCAAAGTTGATTTGCGGATGCGTCAGGATTTGAAATTCCGGGTTGCTTTTAGGATACGTTAGGGTAGGAACGTCGGAGTTGCTTTGGGGTGCGTCAGTGATGGAACCTCGCGGTTGTTTGGAGAATGCGTCAGGGTTGGATATTTGGGGTTGCTTTAGAGATTTGTCATGGTTGGACTTTGGGGTTGAATTAGGGATGCGTCAGGGTTGGAACTTTGAGGTGACTTTATGGATGCGTCATGGTAGAAACGTCGGGGTTGCTTAGAAGATGCTTCAGGGTTGGAACGTCGGGGTTTCTTTGTTGATGCGTCAGGGTTTGAAAGTCGGGGTTGCTTTAAGGTTGCGTCAGGATTAGAACGTCGGGGTGGGTTTGGTGATGCGTCAGGGTTGGAATGTCGGGATTACTTTAGAGTTAGAACGTCGAAGTTGATTTAGGGATGCGTCAGGATTTGAACTTCCGGGTTGCTTTTAGGATGCGTCAGGGATTAAACATCAGGGTTGCTTTAGGGATGCGTCAGCATTGAAACATCGGGGTCGCTTTGGGGAAGCGTCAGAGTTAGAACGACAGGGTTGCTTTAGGGATGCGTCAGGGTTGGAACGTCGGGGTTGCTTTAGGGTTAGAACGTCCGGGTGGCTTTTGGGATGCGTCAGGGTTGAAACGTCAGCGTATACTAACAAATAAAAAGTATTAGGTCCATTAAAAACATTCATATAACGTTCATATTTTAGAAACTGCAATCTTAAAAAAAGGAAAAAACCATTTTATTATAACTTTTTTTGGTTAGTTTACGTAAAGAATTCAATTCTTTCCCAACAAAACTCAATGATAGTAAAGCTGACATCTATTCTGTTTAGTTTCTAATAGCACATTTTTTCCTTCGCCAAAAAAATATTATTAATTTTAAAAAGAAATTTTCGCTACTTTTTGGATTAAATCGTAGTTAAAAATTATAAAAAAAAAAAAAATTCTACTTACTAGAAGCTATGACACGTTTTCTGTCCAGCTTTAAAGCGTATACCTACAAATAAAAAGTGTTAAGTCAAATAAAATCTAGCATAGAACATTTATATTTCAACAACTGCAGTTCAAAAAAAGAAATTAAATTCTTTCAATACAATTTTTTTGATTTCTTAACGTGAAGAATTCAATTTTTTTTCAACAAAACTCGATTGCAGTAAGCCGGACATTTATTTTGTTTTGTTTATAGTTGAAGATTTTTACCGTCGCTAAAAATGTTTTTATATATTTTGAAAAAAATTTTCGCTACTTTCTGGAATAAGTCGTAGTTAAAAATTATAAAATTTCTAAAAAAGTGCAATATAACAAAAGCTATAAAACGTTGTCTTTCAAGTTTTAAAGCGTATACTAACAAATAAAATGTTTTATGTCTAATAAAATCTTGCAAAGACCATTCATAATTAGACAACTGCAGTCCAAGAAAAGAAAAAAAGTCATATTATCACAACATTTTTTTGTTACTTTACGTGAAGAACTTAATTCTTTTTCAACGAAACTCGATTGTAGTAACCCTGACATCTATTCTGTCTTGTTACTAATAGCACATTTTACAGTCACTATAAATTTTTCAATATATTTAAGAAAAATTTTCGCTGCTTTCTGAATTAAACCGTAGTTCCAAACTATCAGATACGTAAAGAAATGCTATACAACAAAAGCTGTAAAACGTTTTCTTTCAAGTTTTGAAGCGTATACTTACAAATAAAAAGTGTTACGTTCAATATAATCCAGAAAATACTATTTATATTTCCACAACTGCAGTTCAAAAATGGAAAAAATTTACCTTATTACAACATATTTTGGTTACTTTACGTGAAGAACTCAATTCTTTTTTAACGAAATTTGATTGTAGTAAACCTGACATCCATTCTCTCTTTCTTCTAATAGCACATTTTTAACTTCTCAAAAATGATTTATTATATACAAAAAGAAATTTTCGCTACTTTCTGAAATAGACCGTAGTTTAAAACTAGCAGATACATAGAGAAAAGCTATATAAAAAAAGCTGTAATACGTTTTCTTTCAAGTTTTAAATCGCATACTAACAAATAGATAGTTTTTGGTCCGAATAAAATCAAGCAAATAACATTTATATTTTAACAACTGCAGTACAAAGAAAGGAAAAAAATCAATTTATTAAAACATTTTTTGGTTACTT